AGGTTATCCTGCCCTCACTAAGGGTTCAAGCATATGATCCAGAAGAGAATCACAGGAAGCTGCTCCACCAGCTCAACATGGTGGAGGCCAGGAGGGACGCGGCCTTAGCTCGGACCGTGCAGGAAAAGTTCAAGGTCGCAAAGGCATACAATGAGAAGGTAAAGCCTCGCCCGCTGGAAGAAGGTGACATGGTGCTCAAAAGAAATTTCGAGCAGAAAGAGGGGCATGAAAAGCTTGCCGCCATATGGGAAGGGCCATTCCAGGTCGCTGAGAAGATCAGAACCGCCACGTACGTGCTCGCTTCCATGGGAGGACAGCCAATTCCCAAGACATGGAACGCAATCCATCTCAAGAAGTACTTCAGTGAGTAGGAAGAAATTACAAGAGAATTTTGTAAGGGGGGCGCCGCTACCAGGCGTAGCACTTTTGTAAAGCTCCTCAGCTTCGCGCCCCTTAATTTAAAACTTCAGTATTTCAAGTCGCCACTGAGCGATGCATTGTTGTGCAGCCAGTAAATGTTAGTTCCATAACTTAACCCAATATGGCATAACCTCCGCAAGCTAGCCCCATAACACCGAACCATTTCACTGCCGACGAGTCTCATAATTCGCTTCACGCTCTCGTAAAGGAACAGCGGGGCGCGCCAGCACATGCGCGAAACCGCATCGTTCGTGCCGCTCTTCATGAGATTCGGACCGCCCCAATGCGGTCCGCTAACGGAGAAATCGTAACTCCACAATTTGTCTTTTCCTAAACAAAGAGAAAACCCGCTCAGGGGCACAAACTTGTTGTTTTCGCCCCAACACATCACGAAAAACAAGCATAAGTCTGACTCTACAAGAATCACGACACATCATAAGGAAGGGTAAAGCAAACATCCCAGCAAAATATTACATAAAACCTCGCCCTGAGGCGGAATGTATCAGTTAGACATAGGAAAGAAAGACAAACTTCCGGAATTTAAAAGACTATCTTAAGAAGAACCGCCATCAACAGGACCCGGCTGATCCACTTCACCGCCAGAGGTGGGAGCCGTGGACTGGACCTCCTCGGAGTTCACATCGTTGTCCCCCCAGAACTCCACGGCGTCCCAAACCGCATTCCGGTCCCAGTGCACGTAGGGGTGATCCCGGCGAAAAAGATGGCGGATGGAAGCAACCGTGTCCCGCAGAAGCTTCTGGTACTTTGCCTCATCTACTGCCTTGTATTCGTCAGACTCAAAAAAGGAGGCACGAGCTTCCTGCCTGGCCTCGTCCAGGTCAGTCGCCCGCCGAGCCTCCAACGCTGCCAAGTTGGACTCCAGCTCCTGCACCTTGTCTTGAAGCTTCCTCTCTCGCCCTGCAGCCTCCAGCGCCTCCTGCTTAGCCTTCTCCAACTCACGGGCGCTCTTCGCCAGCTCTTCTTGGGCGGTCCGCAGTTTGTCATCCTTCACCTTCTGAGCCGCCTCCTGCTCCTTGAGCACCTCATCCCGCAGTTCCTGGCGGAAGCTCTCGCGTCCATCCTTCAGCTGCTCCTCAAGTTTGAGGATGCGGGAGTCCCGGTCGCCCAGGTCATCCAGCAGGCGCTCATTGTGCAGAATCAGCTGACTTATCCCAAATTGCGCCTAAATACGAAAATCCGAATTAGTACCTCACGACTAGCATAGGAAACAAACGGAGAAGGGATTGAGACGCTCACCGCAAAGAAGCACCGCGCGGTTGTCCCCGCCAGGTGGCGGGTGTCCGAAGTAGTGGGGATGGTACCAGCAACCCGCACGTACTCACCCGGGACCGCGAATCCTTCCGCGATGGCATGAAGAGCACGGCGTGCAGGTTCGGCGGAGGAAGTGACATGCGGAGAATACTCCGCCTTAGCAGAGGGCTCCGTGGTTTTCTGCCTCTTCGGGGCGGCAGGCGGTTCAGGGCTAGGATCAATCAGCGTCCCCTTCAACTTCGGCTGCCCTGCCGAAGGCGTCTTGTCCTTGATGACCACGACATCCAGGGAACGCTTGGTGCTGACTCGAGCCGTGCCCTGACCGCTGGGGACGGTCAGCTTGAGGTTCCCGGAGCGCCCCATGGCTAGCTGCGATTGGGTTGACCCGCTGACCGCCCGGGGCCCCTCGGAACCGCCGGGAATGGTAGGAGTGGCTGAGGGAGAGCTGCTCGTGATCACCTTAGGCGGTCGGGCAGACGATGCATACCGACGGATCCCTGGAAAATAAGTACATAAGTAGAAGCATGAGAAAACAACATCTCATCAAAGCTAAGGTGAACTAACTAACCGTGAAAACGTTGCACAATCTCAAGTGCATTATCATGCCCGTGAGGGGGCAACCGAAACTGAACGGTCGAGGTGATGCGGTCCAAGTGAGGCCTCAAATGTTGGAACTTCTTAACACCCTCATCCCAATCCTCTGTACTCCCAAAAGAGAAGGCGGTTAGCGGTTCCACATCGCCCAAGTACCATTTCCAGGACGGGCGGGCAAAGAAATACTCGGCATACCACGGCGAGTCCAACTTGGGGGATCCAAAAACAAACCCAACTTTCTTTTCCCTCCTTCGAGGCGACCAACAATTCTTCGAACCAGTCATAGCGTACAACAGTCGAAAGGCGTCCACTGAGGGCTCCTCCTTCAACTGGTCACAGGCCGCACGATAACAGAGGGAATGAAAAATGATGGAGGGAGAGAGGCGGCTCAAGGAGCAGTTTAGGTGTGTCAAGATCCCAGTAACAATCGGGTCTAAAGGGAATTCCAAACCCAGTCGTACATGCTCGGTGAAAATAGTGATCCACCCCACCGGGCAAGAACCGTAGCGTCCCTCGGGGGAGGGGGCCGCATACTCCCAGTCGGTAGGCAGCCGGTGCCTGTGAAGCTGGCGCAGAACTTGCATTGGAGAGTAGGCGGGCTTATACTTCGGACCGTACGAATACACGGCTTTCGGAACCTCCTCACCCTCCCACATGTCCTCGTGAAGACGCACCCGGTACTCACGGTCGGAAACCGCCTGGTAGGGATGCACTATGGGGGTCTCCGACAACGCTAGCGAGGGGGAATTCTCTATGGAATCTTCCCTGTCAGAGTCATGAGCCGCATCCTCTGGAGCACTCTCCGACGAAAGCTCCACCAAGTTGTCCCCGACTCGGGAAGTCCCGCCGCGCTCAACCATGGAGGTGGCCGTATCAGTAAGAGCGCCCACCCCTAATCCTAAAATACAACCGTCAGGCCTATCTAGACGCTCACCCGCAACAACCGCATCGCCACCCCCACACAACAGTTCAATCCCCTCCGAGTCCCATTCTATGTCAGATAAACTTAAAGGACTAGAGAGATCAGGCATACCTGCTCCAGCAGCAGGGCCGCCCGCGCTGACGGCTTTCGTACCGGAATGTAAAACGCTGACTCCGCCGTCGCCAGGAGCGGTGGCCGCCGCCGTGCCGGAGGTGGTCGTCGCCGCAGCAGCAGAGGCGGTGTTGGTGGCCACGTCAGAGGCAGACGGCGGAGCTGACTCACCGGAAAGACCCCGGTTCTGGCTGTCGGACGGAGTGGTTGCTTGAGAAACCATCGCGAGCAGTTTCTTCTTATTCTTCTTGTCTCGTCTCTGGGCTTTCCTCAAAGAGGTCAGAAACCGACGTCGATCCGCTGAAAGAGATGGCCGAGTCTCCAAGTAGTGGGAGAGAGAGAATTTAGAGCACCTCGCAATTTTGAAAAGGGAGACAGAGAAAGCGAAATGCGGAAGTGATGAGCGAAGTGAAGTCCGAAGTATATATAGCGGCAAAAAGAACCAATGTGACGGTTGAGTGCCCTAGGCCACTAAATTCAAAAACGGGCAGGCGAAGGGACGTTTCGCCTGCCCGATGTCAGAGCACGGAAACCAACCCGTGAACACGTGTACAAGGTGTCTCCACCTAAAACCCGCGAGGCGGTCGCGTTACACCTCAGGCAGGCCAACCCTAGTCCTCAGGCGGCCAGGGACAGAGAGGAGTAAGGAGAAGGCATTAACCGCTCAACTAGCCGAAAGCAGCATAGATAGCCGCCAAAACCCTAGGCTTTTCCCGCCTAAGGGGCAATTGTTGGGCCGCATAGTTGAGCGTAATTGGGCTTCTGGCCCAAGAGGGCGCATCCGCAGATAAGGCCCAATAGGAAAACCAGGCCCGATCAGTAGACCGGGTCAGCGGGCGGCCCTTGACCGGCCCCAGACCCGAGAAACAGATAAGGGCGCCTGACATAAAGCGACTGAGCAACACAGAGGAGCAGGGAGCCGTTGAAGATGCGTATCCGGTGTCAGGCAAGACTGGGCATTTATTACAAGCCTCAGGCGGCCTGCAGAAAGGTAAAAAGCCTGCTTAGGGCGCCTGACACAGCCCAGGGCGCCCGACAAGGCATTTAATGCCCCAGCTACCTTCGAACCATGTATAAATACAGAGTAAGTTCATTTATGGTGAGGCCAACTACTACTCATCTCTCTACATAAATTCCCTTATTCTCCCCTTTCTCTCTCTAACTTAAGCTTCGGAGAGTGTCCCGGGCGACCGCCCCGGACCCTTGTTTTGCAGAGTATTTGGAGTGCCCCCCTCAGTCCAAAGACGGACGCCTCGCTCCAGCTTCACAAACCGCCTAGTATTTACTAGGCACAAACAGGTATAATATGCCCCTCTACTATGACGTTTTATCAAACATGCCCTTCTACTATTTTTTACATAAAACATGCCCCTGTACTTTGGAAAACTTATCAAACATGCCCTTTTGTTAAAATTTACATCCAAAAACCGTTAACCAAGACCGAAATTTGGTTTGGGCAACCCAAATATCTAAAATATCCCTAATAATTTCACTTTAGAGTTTTTTTTTGTTCTTTTGTATAGCCAAATAATTCTAATAATTTCGCTTTGACGAGACCTAGAGAAATAAAACAAGGGTCAAAACTGACATTTCCCCTCCCATTTATCGATGTCAAGTCGTCTAAATCTCGGTTCAACCATGATTGATGATTTTTTCAATGGAAATTACAGTTGAAGGGCATGTTTGATAGTTTTTCCAAATTACAGGGGCATGTTTGATGTAAAAAATAGTAGAGGGGCATGTTTGATAAAATGTCATAGTAGAGGGGCATATTATACCTATAACCTTCAATGTACTAATACACCATTTTCGCTAGCCTTCGCTTTTCCGGGTTTGATGATAACAATAATAATATTAATAAATAAATAAAAAGTTAAACTAACAAGAGATTCATGAATAAATAAGGATCAAAGCAAAACCAAGTATAACACTATTCTGGCTTCATTTTATCTTTCCTTGTATGTGAATCTTCAACTGTTCATGCTGTGCCATGGATGTTGCAGCCGCTGAACCAGCCTTATCCCTCACCATTGTCTTCACAAACAGTTCACCGGCTCTATAAGAGGATCTCACCTGCGAAACACACCAACCAACCAACACCAGAACCTCCATTATTAAACCATATCAAACTAGACTACTTTCTTATTGAACACTATAACTTCTGTTTATTTCACAGGTTTTGATGGTCTAATAGAATCAATCTCTTGTTGCCCGTTCCCACGCAGTTTCGGATTTTAGAGGATTATTACATCAAGACAATATTCACTCCACAAAACAATTGAAGGAACAATAAACCAAGCCATGAAAACCATCTGAACTCGATATATATACAAAGAGGTTTACCAGAGGCCCGCTGGCTACATAGCGGAATCCAATCGACTCCCCGTATTCCTTCCAAAATGCAAATTTCTCGGGTGTCACGTACTCCTTCACCGTTAAGTGTAGCGGAGTAGGCTGCAAGACATTTTGCAATGTCGGTCAGTATATAATTGATGCTCCAATAGCTAATACAATCATAGCAGCTTGGTATTAGAAAAAATGACAAAATTCAGGAAGCTATAGCTGTCTGCACAAACACTAGACCTGCAGAAGCAAGTTGAAGCACGATGAAGAAGAAACTCAATTCTTCCGGGGTGGTTCCAGATTGAACGTACAAAACCTCTCCAACTCACACTGATCACTAATGTAACAAAGACACATAACAAAAGCAAATCGATTTAAGCTCACCTGTAAGTACTGCCCGAGTGTTAGAATATCAACATCTATAGCCCTTAAGTCCGCCATTGCTTCCTTCAACTCGTCATCAGATTCCCCAAGTCCCAGCATTAAAGATGTTTTAGTAATCATACCATCCTTGCTCAACTTTGCATGTCTCAAAACAGTCAAGCTTTGTTCATACCTAAATAATGAACACCCCGGTGAAAATCGCACACTTAGCCAGTAGCAGAAGTTTTATAAGTCTGGAAGAAAGATGTGGCGACATGTGAATGGTTCATTATTCCAATTCAACCCGACCAGCAAAAAATATGACAGATAGGGCACAAGGAACTATTCAGAGAAGTAGATGCAGCTGTAGACACCAAATCTCTACCCAATTTTGAGTAATTTTTATGCAAGCAGTTTGAAACCCACTGAGACTCGCTGTAAGGAAACATTTGTGCCAATTTGGGGTATATAATAAATCCATGGGAAGTCAAAAGATCCAAGACCTCCAACAACTCAGCCGCTACCAAGTGAAGTTCAGAGATACCTACCCTGCACGAGGATCTCTAACAATTCGTTGAAGGCGTTTCACGGTCTCAACATTGTGGGCAAAAACATCCAATCCTGAGTGTACCAGGGTGTCCACAGCCTCCAAGTCTCCTCGAAAATCAGAGGTCAAACACTCAACCATGATTCCAGGTTTACGTTCCTGCAAAAATGAACACACAGCCAAGAAGGGTGAGTCGTAAAATTGGTATATACCCCCCCCCCCCCCCCTACTCTAGATATCTTGCACCAGAGACACAAGACAAACCTTCAGGGCCACGACGGTGCGAGCAAAGTGTCCACTCCCTCCATCAGGCAAATCATCGCGATCAACACTGGTCAAAACAATGTAATCCACGCTGTTCCAAGGAGCAAAATTCAGATCAGGGAACCATATTGCCTGAATGTTGGAATTTCAGATTAAGAAAGACAACAGCAAATGTACCCCCAAGAAGCGATGGCCTCAGCAGTATTTTGAGGCTCAGCAGGATCAGGAGGGGCAGGGTTCCTGCTGGTTTTGACAGCACAAAACCTACAGCCGCGGGTACACGTATCACCGAGAAGCATGATGGTCGCCGTAGCGATTCCATCCCCGCCGCCGTTCCAGCACTCCCCAATGTTTGGACACTGGGCCTCTTCGCACACAGTGCTGAGGTTTTTGGAGAGGGATTTCTTGACCTCTTCAAACCGTGGTCCTTGAGGAGCTTTCTGTCGGAGCCACTCAGGCTTCTTGACATTCGGATCTCTGCCAGTGAAGGGTCCGAGAGCCGCAGCACCAGAACTGGCATTGCCTGCCGCCGCTGCTGCAAGATCAACCCTAATCTTCAAAGAACGGGAGGAAAGAAACACCAAACTATCAGAATGCGGAATGCCCATTTCAACATAGCCCATATACTAAATTCCTAATTGTCTGCAGTTGTATTTGTGTTTTGTGATGATAATATAACAGAAGATCACTAGCACGCCATCGCCTTACATACAAAATCAATTCCATTGCTTGGGGTAATTGGTGCCAGAGAGCGAGAGGTGTCCAATTGTCAATTAATTAATCATCATAAACTAAGCTACTGGTTCTCTAGCACGGCAACGGAGGTAGGTATCATCAGAGTTGAAGCAGGTTTACCTTGTGAAGAGTGTTGTTGGAGCTGATGCTGGATATTGCTGCGGAGAATCCATTGCTAGGGAATTCTGACGACGAGGCGGGAAAGGAGAATCTGGAAAGAAGGCGGCAGGAGGATGGGGAGAAGCTTGGTTTCGTGGAAAACGAAGAAGAAGGAGGTGAAGCAACTGGGCCTGAGGGGATGGAAAAGGAAGCCATTGGTCAGATGGGGGAATGTAAAATGGAAGCAGGCAGAATGTCGGAGATTGGGAAGATAGTGGGGTTTAGAATTTCCGATGAAGAAGAAGAAGAAGGGATAGGTGAAGCAAGCAGATGATTTGACGGAAAGACCGAAGCGCGATACCGGCGAGAATAACAGAGGAGATGCAGAGTGGCGGAGTAGTCGAAGAAAGAGGAGAAGAATTCCTCTTCTCGATTTGGAAGGGCCGACCCGAAGGAAGGTTGGGGCTTCCACTAATATAAGTTTCGTGATTGGGTTTAAGCCCAAGATACCCATCCAACGACCGCCCAAATGCTTTTTTGCTAATTATGGATGAGTCCCAAAGTCACAATCCTCCAAGGGTTCGTTTGAATTAGGGAATGTGATGAGAGATTTATAAGAGAATTTAAAATAATCTCTCATTTTGCAGGATTTTAATATAATAACTTGTTTAGCAAAATAAGAGATTTCAAAATTAGACATTTCAAAATTTTTCAAATATGGGTTTTTGAAATAGCTGATGGCCATCAGCTATTTCTAAATCCCTCATCTTTATTTCAATTTTTCAATATTACCCTTCAACTTAGGTCGTCCGCTGCAGCAACTCTTCCTTTTTCTTTCTCTTCGGGCCTCTTTTCTTCCTTCCGGCGACGGTGAGTATTGACGAACAACATCGAGCGCAAGCCCACTTTGTTTCTCATGCTCCCACAAGCCCTCCATTTCTCATCTCCCAAATCACGAAGTACAACATTCCCGCCAACCCCTCAATCCCTCTCGTCGGTCCTCTTCTCCAAAGCCTCTTCCTCATTCACATTCCCGGACTAGTAAAGAGATATCCTTCTCTGACCTCTCTCCCTATTTCTCGATAGACGACTCCGTTTTAGATTGAGGGAATTGGTTCTCCTTCGAGTCACTCACTCTGTGCACTCTATTTCTTTCCGTCTCTGCTGGTGAGGAAGGGGAATGGGCAAGAGCTTCCAGTTCCTTAAATCTGTTGTTTCTATTACTTTGGGATAATTGTTCATTGTTGCAAGGGCGGTGATGGACTAGGACTGGAATTAATGAAATCCGGGTTTGCGGCGTCGGAGAAGGAGAGTGGAAATGGGAGGGAGACCAGGATCCGCCGGCGGGAGGAGAAGAGAGGGATTTGAGATCTATACGGCGGTGAGTGATTTCTAGGTTTGAGCTTTGCTTTGAATGTTGGGTTTGGAGGATTGCTTGTGTGGTGTTGGTGAAAAGAATGAACAGAGGAATAAGACAAAGTTGTAGTAGAATAATGGGTTTGGTTAAAATCCTGCATTTTAATCCAAACAATTTATTTCAGTTAAATCCCACATACAAATTCTCCATTATTTTAAACGAGAAATTTACGCTCAAATCCCTCGTTATTAAAATTCCTAATCCAAACGACCCCCAAATCATAGAAGGAGGTTTTAGGCAAGCACCCACTCGATTTCCTTATCACGCAGTCTTCGGAGGGAGCTTTCAGTCTTTTGCTTTCTTAAAACCCGAAGCAACTATATTTCCAGGAAGCGGTGTAGAAAGTGAAGCATGTTCTCTCCCTATTTAAGTTTTAACCGGAGCTTAAATGCTTAATTGGTGTCTATTTAATCGACAGTTAAATGAAGGATCTCATCGGACAAAACAAAGAGCATCTAAGCACTCTTCCTGGGATACTGCAAGACTCTACTGAGGAGCTTGTTTCTGACATGCAAGTAGGACTCTGGAGCAGCACGTCAAACCCTGCAAGTCTCTACTAAAAAGGAGAGAAACCAACTTCCGCTCCAAATCCAGCCACGGCATCTCCCTCGCTTTCCTCCTCACTTGGATCGCCGGGGACATTTTCAATCTGCTGGGTTGCCTTCTGGAGCCTGCAACGTTGCCGACTCCGACCGACCGTCCACGCCGACTGGATTTACAGAGCTCCTAGATCTCTTGCCCTTTCCTTTTTCTCGATTCATCTCGACTGGAAACTGTAAGTCATCCCCTCTCTCCTCCTTATTTCTTACATTGTTTCTTCCCTTCAGATCTGCACAGAATGGACGATGCTTCTTCCTCTCCCTCGGCTTGTGCTCTCCTGTCGCAGCAGTAGCAACAGCGGCAAGGGGCATCTACATGATGTTAGAGTGAGGTATAAGATCCAGCATAACCTTCTCCCAACAACTCGAGTTATTGGGACCAACTGGTTATTGACATGGTATCAGAGCTGGTTTGATCAAGTGGTCGTGTGTTCGAATCTCCACGACCCCCAATATTAAAGTTGATTAAAGCAGAAGGTATGGTGGGCCTGTGCAAACTTCAAGCCCGTGAGTTGGCTTTCGTTTGAGGGAGCGTGTTAGAGTGAGGTATAAGATCCAACATAACCTTCTCCCAACAACTCGAGTTATTGAGACCAACTGAAGAGTCCACGATGGGAGAGACACTGACGACGCCGATTCAGAAGCGTGTCGTTGTTGAGATCCGCCGGATTAGGAATCGAAGAAACAGGGACGGTTACGGTAACGGGAGTGGGGAATACAGATCGTTATTTTTTATTTTCTATTACTTTTATTTTGGTTTTTACTTTTTACTCCCATTAATTGATTGGTTGGAACCGGAGTTTCCCACCTCCACCCCACGTACGAATCCAAATCAGGTAAGTCACGTAAGTGTTTCATTTTTTATATTCTTTTTCCATCTTTATCTGGGAAAAAAAATCAAAATCAAAATCAGAATTCAGAACCCGCCTTCTTGCGGTCGGTCCTTTGCTTCGACATGAATCGCTGACATGCGACTCTTTTTTGTCACGGTTCTGTCATCACCTATCTGTTATACATGTATGCATTCGGGTACTTAAATTGGTTTGATTATGTCTCTTTTACTGAATGATAATGATTTTTCAATCTTCTTTTCTCTAATACTTATGCATAAGCTAGTTGTAATATAATGTATAGGTGTCTCTGTGTTGATGCGACACTCCCTATCTTTGTAAATTACCCATATCGTTGGTAGTATAGATCGTGTTTATGTAGGAATGGCAATGGGGCAGGTCCGGGGCGGGTTTCTTGGTACCCAGACCCGCCTCGTGGCAGGCGGGTCCAGGTCGGGTAATTGATCACGGGTCGCGGGTCGGGGCAGGTCGACCCAATGGGTATGCAATTTATTTGAAAAACATTAGAAATATTCGTTATTTTTATTATAAACTAAGAAAATAAACAATATTATGACAATTGTAGTTAAATTATTGGAGAAATTGAGGTTTTCACTAATTTACAACTTTATTATAGCTAAAATATGATGCGATAAAAGTAAAATTCAAAGTAATTTGACTAAGATTTCATGTAATTTAGACAAGAACGGGTCGAGAATGGGGCGGATCAGGGCAGGTCGGGTCGATGAGACTACCCATGCCCGCCCCGCCCGCCAACGGGGCGGGTCGGACCCACCCCAAAACAGGTCAAACAGGTCGGGTAAAACGGGTCAGGTCGAAATTGCCATCCCTATATTTATGGAACCCATGCCTCTTTGTGAGGTTATTTGTTGGTGTTTATCTAATTCTTTATCTTACGTTATGTTTTTTGGTTTTGTACAGGTGATCTCTCAGATGGTCAACGCGAAGGATTCGGCTCGCGTTTTGGGAGGTGTCATCCTGTAGAAGTTCAGGTGTACACGTTCATCTCTCCAGCGTGTTTCGTTTCATTTCGCGTTGTATAGGTACAAAAGGGCTTCCCATATCGTTGCAATCAAGCCCTCTCATCGTTGGTTCAACACCTTGTTGACCAGCGCAATTTACTTTTTATTAGTTTGGCCTGCAAAGGTCTTGTATTTTTTCGTATCTTGCTATTCCTTTCGGAATATCTATGGCAAAAAAAAAATATATTGAAGGATCTCATCACAGGCAATTGGTAGTTTGGTAGTTTGGTTTGTTAATGGTTTATTTAGATAAGAGTAATATAGATTTGTTTGTTTTATTATAAGGTGATACATGAAAGATTTGTAAATGTTGATATTTATATTATATTCTTTATACGGGAAAACCATCCAAACAAGCAAAGAAGCAAATAGAACCGTCATTGAAAATTGAATGTAACTATTTAAGTACCTATATCTTTATTAGCATGATTTTTATATGGGGTTAATTACAAGGTTGGTCACTGTATTTACTAAAAACGTTCATGTTTGGTCACTAAAAATATTTAATTTCATTCGTGGTCACTAAGATTAGTCAAGTGTTTCAAATTTGGTCACTCTCCGTCCAACTCTGTTAGTTTTGTCTGATGTGACAGTCAACTCTCAAAGTTGACCGTTAACTAAGTGACGTGGCAATTAAAAATTAATTAATACAACAAAAATTAATTTTTTACAATTTCCAACTCATTTTCACAATAAAGTAGAATAATTAAAACAGAAAAAATTATTATAATTTGCAAATTGAAATTTGCCCACCTCCGCGTCGCCTTTGCTCCCACTTTCATCTCGCCGATTGATTTCTACGATTCCAAAGCCTCCTCCTTCGCCAAATCGAGAAGCCCACCCCGTCGAAACCAACTTCTCAATCGTTCGATCGTTTGATCTATGGCAGTGGAGAGTGGTTTAGAGGAGGGAGATTGGGTTTGGTGGTTGCGGTTGGAACCAGTAGAAGACATTGGCGTCGTCCACTTGGCCGAACTCCTGCAGTTGGAGGCGGATCTTGCGAATCTCGTCCTGGGGAGGGTTGACCATCTCGGAGTTGAAGATGGACTCGAGGATTATGATCTGCTTCGGCTTCGGGTTCCACCGCGGTTTGGGCTCCGAGCTCCGGGCTCCTCTCCTCCCCGACCACTGTCACACACATAATTATAATAACATAAGAGCAATTAGCTTAATTAGTTTGAATATGTGTTAAGATGGAGGTTGAATATAATGACTTGGTGTGGGGAAAGGAATGACGTACTGGGGAAAGTTGATTACAATTTGGCTTCTCGATTTGGTGATTTGACGAAGGAGGCTTCTATGAACCCAGAAATCAATCGGCGAGATGAAAGTGGGAGCGGGGCGACGCGCTGAAGCGGAGGCGGGCGGATTTAAATCTGGAATTTATAATAATATTTTTATGTTTTAATTATTCTGCTTTATTGTGAAAATGAGCTGGAATTGTAAAAGATTAAATTTTATTTTATTTATTATTTTTTAATTGCCACGTCACTCTGTTAACGGTCAACTTTGAGAGTTGACTGCCACATCAGACAAAACTAACGGAGTTGGACGGAGAGTGACCAAATTTGAAACACTTGACTAGGGATGGCAATTTCGACCTGACCCGTTTTACCCAACCTGTTTGACCTGTTTTGGGCAGGTCCGACCCGCCCCGTAGGCGGGGCGGGGCGGGCATGGGTAGTCTCATCGACCCGACCTGCCCTGACCCGCCCCATTCTCGACCCGTTTGTGTCTAAATTACATGAAATCTTAGTCAAATTACTTTGAATTTTACTTTTATCGCATCATATTTTAGCTATAATAAAGTTGTAAATTAGTGAAAACCTCAATTTCTCCAATAATTTAACTACAATTGTCATAATATTGTTTATTTTCTTAGTTTTATAATAAAAATAACAAATCTTTCTAATGTTTTTCAAATAAATTGCATACCCATTAGGTCGACCTGCCCCGACCCGCGACCCGTGATCAATTACTCGACCTGGACCCGCCCTGCAACGGGACGGGTCTGGGTACCAAGAAACCCGCCCCAGACCTGCCCCATTGCCATTCCTACACTTGACTAATCTTAGCGATCGCGAATGGAATTAAATATTTTCAGTGACCAAACGTGAACGTTTTTAGTAAATACAGTGACCAACCTTGCAATTAACCCTTTTATATGATTTAGGGAAAAAGAGAGTAAATTTCATGCTAAAATATAGCTCGTCAAAATTAAAAAATGCTCAAAAAATTACATAAAATTTCCTACATATCATTAGCTAAGTACCTTTGACACCCGATATTAATGGACTTTTTCCAGAAATAACACTGTTTAAAAAAAATTCCCAAAATACCACCCAACCCCAAAAATACCACCCTTTTTCAAAAACCGCCACCCCACCCTGCGGTTTACACGAAAAACGCTGGGCTAATGGGCGGTTATGAAAACCGCTATTGACGAAATCGAAAAAAGGCTCGTTCGGGGTAGCAAATGACATTTTTTCGAGACGAAGGCGGGATCAAACTGCCTACGGCGTTTGTGGCTTGCAAAATCTCAAAAATATATTCGGATTCAAAAAAAAAAAAATTCACTACGATTGGATACCCGAGTGCAAAGTTACGTTCGTTTGAAGTTCCGGCCGAAGTTAGGAGTTGATCGGAAAAAAAATTGGACCAAACCGCTGGGTGGGGTGGCGGTTTTCAACGCTGGGCTAATGGTCAGGCCGGACGGGTATCTCAATACTCATCTCTCAAAAAACCAAAAAAATAAGAGATGCTAATAGCATCGTGGCAGGCTAGGTTTAGATAGTGTATGAATTGCGATTGGAGTAGGTTGATTTATACTAGTATGTATTTCAATCGAAAAACATCTGAAACGTCAATTTTTCATTAACAAGTCGAAAAACAAACAATGACATGATATAGTTAAGCTCCTCGAGAAATTGAGATTCTCTGTTAGAAACACATTATTTGCTTATTTCTGTCTTTTGAGATTATTTGTCGGTTTGAGATAGTTTGAATTATTTGGGGAATTTCGGGAATAATTTGGTAGTAGTTTGATATATCGTTTTAGTGGGGTATGAAACAGTTATTGGTATGACTGTATGATCGGTAATTAGTGGGGTATTCCCATTAAGCAATTACAGAACCAATTTAGCAATCATAATCTCCTTCTCTCTCTTTCCCTCACTCTCACCCACTTTCTCCTCTCTTCTCTCAAGGCTGCGACAACATTCTTTCTCACTCCTAAATCCCTAGATAGATCAATCCCTAATTGATCAAACTAATTACCCAATCCGAGAACCGTTAGAAATCTTGTTTCTAACATTTGGTATCATAGCCTGGTTCGAGAGCGAGTTCCTTATAACTCTTGACAGGGGACGGATCGGCAGACTGTGATGGTGCTAACGAAGTCACAAACAACGGCGGAGAAGGTAGCAGAGAAAGCTGCTTGGGACGCACAGACGTCGCAGGCTACGACAGCTGAGAAGAGACCATCGCCCCATGAAAGGAGAGCTGGCAATATGGTGGTGGACGAGACCTGAGTTCGAAGTTGTGAATCTGGCAGTGCAGGAACACGCAGGGGCGCTGACTCGTCTCAAGGAGGGATTGAAGAAGCTATGTGCCGAGGCAAAGGCGGACGCGAAGGGACTTTGTAGGCTCCTAGAAAACCTCACATAGGCAGTGAGACACTGCAGGCAAAGGGGACGGTGGCAAAGACCAAGGTTGGGCGGACCCCGACGCAGGCCAAACCGGGAATGCTGATCCCGGACACGAGTGGATATGGCGGGGCGCACAGCAGGTCGTCCTCGGCAGGGGGCGGGCGCGGCGACAATGTCGGGCTGGAGAAGACGGCGGCAACGTAGACGAGAGAGCCGACGGAGGTTGAAGGAGCGATGACGGCGGATATAAGGCTGGGGAACACGGACTTTGCAGGCCACGGTACGCGTGGACGCGGCAGTGGGCCGGATTTGCTACCAACCCCTTCGGCCCAGGAGATAGCGGCCCTACGTGAAAAATCTAAAATGTCTGGCTATGACAACTATGGGCACCAGTTGAGTTTTGAACCTTATGAGTCTATAGGGCAAGGAGCGGTGTTCGGTCTCGTCAAGGAACCCAACGGGCTTGGATGGATGAGCATGGATCCGGAAGAAGATGAACTAAGCTTGGCGGGGCAAACGAAGGGATGACCAGAACTGGGAAGGAGTTCAGTCGGGCGGGGCGTCGCGAGGGAGGCGGACCGACCACCTGGATGGGGCCCATCACGGGGTGGGTCGAACAAAGTTGGGTCGACCTGGATGGACCGGAACTGGTTAGACAGAGTCGGGCTGAACTGTTCGGCCAGATTCTAGTCGGAACGGGCAGCAAGGGATCAGCAGCCTGGCGAGAGTCTGGCAAAGGTTCAAGAGCTTCTTATCAGCCTTTCACAGGCCCCCAGGCGGAAGGACGACCGTCAGCCGGGAACAGGAATGCAAGACAAGATCAGAAGGGCGGACTGGAAGGGTATGCGGAGTACCCGTTTGAGGAAGAGGACGTGTGGGGTCAAGACAGGGAGCCGCGGTTTCAACGGGACAACCGTGACCGAGATCCTGACTACGATAGGTATGATGGATACTCTCGAGGCTATGACGGTGATCTTGTGTTTAGGGCTAAACCCCCTACCATTGAGTTTCCAAAATTCAATTGTCAGGAGGATGCAGGCCTCTGGTTGTATGCAGCTGACAGATGGTTTAAGAACCATCCCACAAAGGAGGACGAAAGGCACGTTTGGCGTCTTTCTATTTGGAGGGTGATGCATAGCAGTGGTGGGAGTGGTTAGAGCGGTCGTGTGCAGATGCCCAGACTTTGATCACATGGCCCCTGTTCCAGGAACTTATACCAGTTCGGTAAGTCAAGGGGTGGGCGCCAAAGCAGCCGGCGAAGCTATGTCAGACGGGAACTGTGATGGAATACAAGGAGGAGTTCTTCAACCTGGGCAATCAATGCAAGGGCGTACCAGAGGAGAGCTTGGTTGGATTGTGTATGGTCGGTCTAAAGCTGGAGATCGCCACTGCGGGTCAAGGTCTTCGAACCGGATTCCTTGAGGACCGCTTTCCGTCTTGCAGGTCACAAGGAAGAGGAGCTAGCGAGCTGGAGGAGCACGATCGGACGCTTTCCGAGGGACGCCGGAAGTGGGGGTGGTGGCACCGGGTCTAGCGGAGGAGGAAGTGCGACTGTTGGAGAGGGTTCCAGGGCGACAAGCACGACCACAATAGCCCGTCCTGGGCCTATGGCTTCGCCGAAGGGATTTGTGCGACTGTGCCGGCTGAGATTGAGCAGAAGAAGCGGGAAGGGAAGTGCTTCAACTGTGACAAGAGGTTTACCGTGGGGTACAAGTGTGCAAAACCTGACTTGATGATACTGGTGGGGCACTGGAAGGACGAGGCAAAGGATGACGCAGAGGTGGCAAGGAATCAGGAACCGGAGTAGAAGCTACAACCTTGAGGGCAAGGTTGTTCCCAAGGAGGTGGGGACGTTAGAAACACATTATTTGCTTATTTATGTCTTTTGAGATTATTTTTCGGTTTGAGATACTTTTGGCTTATTTGGGGAATTTCGGAAATAATTAGATAGTAGTTTGATATATCATTTTAGTGGGGTATGAAACAATTATTGATAGGACTATATAATCTGTAATTAGTGGGGTTTTTCCATTAAACAATTACATAGCCAATTTAGCAACCCTAATTTCCTTCTCTCTCTTTCCCTCACTCTCACCTGTGTTCCCCTCTCTTCTCTCAAGGTTGCGGCAACAACCCTCTTTTTCCCTCTTCTTGTTCTACAATTCTTTCTCACTCCTAAATCTCTAACTAGATCAATCCCTAATTTATCAAGCTAATTTCCCAATCTGAGACCCGTTAGAAACCTTGTTTCTAATATTCTCACATATTTATAACTTTGTTATAGCTAAAATATGGTGTAACAAAGGTAAAATTCTAAATATTTAAAGTAAAATTACATATAATTTAGACAATATGGATTGACAGTGGGGTGACTCAGGTCTATGAGACTATGAGAGTACCTGCGTCGCCATACCCGTCCCGCCTCACCTATGGAACAGGTATTACCTTCTCAAAGCAAGACAAAAAAATATCTAATCGAATAGAATGAGTTAGATCAAAATTGTCATTCATGATTATTGCGTTAATCAGCTACAAGTATAACTGTCGAGTAAAATTTGGTGGGTAGAATAAGATATGAGGATTTGATCAACATTCTATTTACTTTTTAACTTCCGAATTATTGGTTTCGGTTCTTTAGTCATGCCTTACAACCTTCATTGCGATCGCTTTGAGAGCAACTTTCACGCAAACGCTGAAGAAAATGCATTCCCACGTGCATATGGGCGCTGCAACTAAACGCTCATAGCAGCGAGAAACTCCAGCGAAGAGCTCTACCGAGTACTGAATGAGATCATTCACGCCACCGGAACTTTACGAGAACTACAACAACATTCATCGACGATCCACTACCACCATTACAAAGAGTGCATTACATATTCCTGACAAGTTCGAAACATCTACAAATTAGACAGAATGGAGGAAAGAAGGAACGTCAAGGAGGGAACAACTAGACAAAGGTATTGCCTTTTCACCTTCTCCGAACAATCGATCGAGTCAGATTCCCAACAACACTAGACTGACTTTATTATCAACAGATCGAGTTACAAATGAGTGTTGGTTACCTTACCACCATCAGGGAGCAAGTTTGTTCTTGTGCTTTGGGCGCCTTTGCTTTGCTTTCTCCATCTTCCCGCTCCCACTATTACTCGGGGTCTGGTTGTTGCTCACGGACCCTTCTTGAGCGCTGCACATTTGCGACTTCATCCTGAACCCGAGCTTCTTCGACATGCTCCCCCAAGCGCTCAAAGAAGACGAAGTAGGTGCAGAGACAGCTGGTTTGGTGGGGCGTCCCCCGAGTTTCTCGATCTCCTGCCTCATCGTGGAGCATTCTTTCTCGAGCTCTGATACCCGCATTCTCATGTTGTCCATCCCAACTTTCAAGACTTGGTTCTCTCTCACTGCTGAAGCCCAGCCTCCTCCTCCTCCTTCCCCTGAACCTGCTGCTGCTCCTGCTAGCCCACTCCTCATCAACTGTCTCGACCCGTCGAGATTCTCTGAGACTAGGAAACAACCTGCAATGGATGTCCTGAGCTGAAGCTGCTCGAAGAATAGGACTTGGACTACTATCCTTAGGGGCAACCTCTCGTTCTGTGCAGCATGAGTGCACGCCTCCAGCGACAGCTTCTGGCAGTCCATCAGCCGGCACAGTTGTTCTCTGTCTGACTCAGCTAGCCACGGGTGAGACTGCAAGTTATACACAAAACAGTAAGGTATGTGAGAATTCAGGATCCAACAACCATATATAGGAGCAGACACAATAAAAAACACTTGTGTTTTCTCACTTTAACTACAATTTTAAAAATGCAGTACAGTACCTTCAAGTATATATCTATAGCACGATAGAGGCCGTCATCGAGGGGCCTGGCATATTCAGGAACAGCTGCAGCAAGTGCCTGAAACTTCGGGAGCTTCAAATTAACATCAGGGGCAACCTCTGCAAGGTACCCATCGATCAACTTCGCCACCATTGTGATTGGGGTCAAAGATGGCGATCCGATAATCAACTGACTGTCATCAACCGAACCACCAGGAGAAGCACCACCACCACTAATCATCTGGTCCATGGCGAGGAAATGCTCCACAATCCGCTGCACACAATCGACATTGTAAAGTGTCTCCATGGAGTGGGAGAAATTAGGCATCAGAAGATTTTCTAGAGTTGCTTGATCAAGCTGCATGCCTATCCTCTTCTCTAAACTCGATAAACACGAACTGTCTGCCTTCAGAATCATTGCTGTTTTGAGTAGACCGAAGAGAAATTTTGTGGACACTAGACCCTTCTGCATTGGTAGCAATCTTTCGATCTCTTCCAGTAAATTCCTCTGCTCTTCTTCTGAAGCTGGAGCTCCCAAAGCTACCAACCGCGAGCTAGAGTCAGTAGAGGCAGCACCTTGACCACGCCTATTGAGACCAGGTAGGTACATTTTTGCATAGGAGGCAAGGGATCCAGCAATTATTTCATGCCGGATACCACGAGACTCCATAGCAGAAATCAGCCTCTTGTAGAGAGACAAGTTCAGAGTGGATGCATCCTCATACCACCAATCGGAACTCGAGTTTTTTGGCCTAGCTCCTGTGCTTATCCCATTCCACAACACACTTCCCCCGGGGCTCTGCATAGGACCATGCTCCACCATTGGCCACCCAAAAAGGTTGGGATCTGTACTGGCTTTTGAGGCTAGTGAATCAATGCACCTCTTTGTGATGTTTAGTTTGTCGGCATAGGGAAGAATGTCATCATCACAAGTTTGGAGAGCCTTGAGCGAGTCTTTCCAATTGCGAAGCACCACATGGTTTAGAAAAGTCTCTGTCTGTGTAATCAGATTGCCTTCTCCATAATCTTCGGTCATCTCGAGGTGATCAGCAGCACAGCGGAGGTGCACGACATTTGAGGCTGTAAGCTCGAGCTTTACACCGTAGCAGAACTTGGCGACAAGCTCAAAGGTTTTAGCCCCACCAGGGACTTCTGGGAGGCGAATGATGCTATTCTCGTCTTCTTCTTCTGAAGCTTCTGCAATCAATTTCTCCATAACTCCACTTCTAGAAAGCAATGGAAACTGCAGAAATCGAAATGGAGAGAGAATCAGAAAACTTTTCACCGGACGAACATATCATTACTGTGAAACGGCAACTATTTGATACTTGTCATGGACTATTGCTTCAAGAAATTAAATAAACAACTTATCACTTTATTCTGGACCATTGCTTCAAGAAATCAAATGTTCAGAAAACACAGCACGAGTACTATTTACAACCGCCATATGCTCTCACATTATAATAACAAGGTTAAAAATATGAATCATGGAGCAAGACCTATTTGAAGCAGCTCAAAGCAATAAAAGGGTACCTTGTGAAGATGGAAGGACATCTCCCCAACTTCTACAGTTATGTCACTTGGAAGGCCGGACGTGCAGAACCTACACTCAAGGAAAAGCAAAGGTCATAACCAGACTAACACACCAGTGTTTAAGGATTACCAGAAAAGTAGTACAAGAGTGATTATTATAAGATTTAGGTGAATGGATGTAGCAAAACCCAATCTGAGGGGCACAATTTTTAGTTGCTCAACCCCAAATTTTGGGCAGTTCTATATGGGAGTACTTTTCCTATTCTGTCCTCTAATATAACACAGTCAAGAACTCTCCCTCCCTAAGTAAATCCCATATATGTTTTCAAGTCCTAGCTCCATTACAAGCTTGCATATGCATATGTGCATAGATGGAACAACATCATATCTTAACTACCAGAATAGCAAGTTCATCAATGTGAATTAGCAAATTATGTTACTTCATCCAGCAATCTGGATAGGCATAAAGTAATTCCCTCCCTTTGCTACTTCATTCAGCACCAGTAGCAACAAACAGCAATCTACTTTAGCATAAAGCACTTCACTCACTATGCTAGATCAGTAGTCCCCTTAACTCGTGACTCACTGACTCCCTACTTTGTCAAAATTCTGAAACATCAATCTAATATTAACAGACTTCCTTAACTAAATCGAAATGTTCTAATTAACCATTGCCAAAAGAATCAGAAGCCCAGAGAAAATGGAAAAAACTGGGCAGTAAGGAAAGGGGAAAGGAAAAACATACCAGGCCTGGCCCTGCCGCTGAAACGCATCACTCTTAGATCCCAGCTTCATGCAAGCCATCTCTCAGAGCAATGCAGGGAAGAAACAAGTTGATACCTTTCCTCCAATACCAAGGCAACAATTGCGGCAGGCCGATACCTCAAAGAAGCTAAGCAATGCACAAAAACCTACTGCAAATCTAGGGAAAGTTTTCTGAGCCAAAGAGTTTAAACTTTAGAGGAAGATATTCCCACTTCACTCACGGCAACAGCCCCCCGTCCGTCCGGCAGACCGTCGGATTGTGGACTAAGCGTCAAGAATGTACCAGCTACACTCCACCTCTCGTTTCTGCCGGCCAATAACTATCGCCAGCCTTGGACGCATAGAAAAACGAGAAAGGAGAAAAAGGCTGGAACTTGGAAAACGGAAGAAATGAACCCGCTTGTCCGTTTGCTCCCCCCCAAAAGAAACTCAAGAGAAAACTCCACAGTCCAGAACCAAAGTTGGGGTCTTTGAACCAGGTTGGAGATGGGGAACCAAATTTTAGGTCAACCCTTCAAAATGTTTTCCCACTCTGATCCTCCCGGAAGAAGAATGGCAGAGGGAAGAAGAAAAGGAAGGCCGAGAAAGGGGAAAGAAATACTTAATACACAGTAATGATTCCAAAAATGAGAGCTGTATTGTATTTAATGGACACAGGGGACCATAACCACTCACTCAGATACCCGCGAAAGAACAGGTGAATGAATGAAACCCACTATTATGATTAGTTAGCCAAAGTCGCAACCTTTTCCACAAATTGTACAATACCCAGAAACGAAAACACCCCCCAACCAACTAAAACTGAAAGCCCTTCTTTTTCTTCTTTCCGGTTTTGAAACTTGATTACTGGTAAATATCATTTACCCTTTGTTTGTATTTATTTATGTTACTCTCCCTGGCAAATGAAAAAGCGATCCGAGACAGTCAGTCAGTCGAGCCGACAGTATGCGTGGGGTAAATTAATGACACATTTGGACAAACCCTAAAAGCTAGCAATCTTGCCTCTAGGTCTCTGATTCTGCTAGCATATGCTGACAGTGTCATATGTTACGCCTTACGCGCGTGTTGATGTTTTCGAATCGTGCATTTATAAAAAAAAATATCATCGTATACATCTACGGTTCAGATCACTATATCGCGAGATTCAATAATGTTAAGACGCTTTTGAGATTAACCTCTCTTAGCGTATTAACCGAATTGGTCAGTATCTTAAAATCTCAACACAAAACACATGCAAATGCAAGAAACCCCATGTGGGCCGGATTGGCTTGAACCGCACTCAATGCAAAATTCCGGAATCTTTTTCCCAAGTTGTTATCTCAGTAGCTTAGCTAATCCATTAATTCTGAATCGTGGGGGAAGTTTGACCAAACCCAAGAACCTTGCTGCATCGGCCAGCAAGCGCACTGACACATATATTTTGATTTTCGTCCAGTGGGGAGAGACAAGACAGCTAAGGCCATGTGCATGAATGCTTTAAGATCGTTATACAGTTTGCTTTCTTCTTACACCTCTTGTTTAATCTTATCTTAATGTCCATTGATTAACGCCCCATAATCAAACCCAGTCCTGCGTCTACAGCCAACGAGGTTTGATCGTGGTGGGTCTTTGGGGGTAGTTTCGGGAATTCAGGATTCTGCACTGAAGAGAAAGGGGAAGGGAGGGAGAGGGAGAGAGAGACATCATGATTGCAGCTTGCAGGCATGTCCTAAAAGGGACACACGACAAAAACCAAAACACGCTCCCACGGGTTGCTGTGTTTGTGTGGATGAATGGGTTAATGATAATCTCACGGCCTTTCAATGTCGCTTTAGGGAGTGTTGGTGGAAGGAACGGCCATTGGATTCCTCCGGCCCCGGAGGGAGAGTGGCTGAGTGGGTGTGGAATTTAAGGTCAGTATGGGGGATGATTAGTAGTTAATTAATACGAGTTTGAAGTCAATTAAAGCATAGCGCTTAATGATAATTTCATACGTGTTAACGACGCTAATAAGCGAGAAATTAATTAAGCACAAAGGTTGATTACTTATTTGTCTTCATTTGGTTATAGGAATGGCAATGGGTAGGTCTGGAGCGGGTTTCTTGGTACTCAGATCCGTCTCGTGGCAGGTTAGGTCCAGGTCGGGTATTGATCACGGGTCACGGGTCGGGGTAGGTCAACCCAATGAGTATGCAATTTATATGAAAAACATTAGAAATATTCGTTATTTTTATTATAAGACTAAGAAAACAAACAATATTATGACAATTATAGTTAAATTATTGAAGAAATTGAGGTTTTTACTGATTTACAACTTTATTATTGCTAAAATATGATGCAATAAAAGGAAAATTCTAAGTAATTTGACTAAGATTACATGTAATTTAGACAAGAACGGGTCGAGAATGGGGCGGGTCAGGGCAGGTCGGGTCGATGAGACTACCCATGCCCGCCCCGCCCTGCCCCGCCTACAGGGCGGGTCGGACCCGCCCCAAAACAGGTCGGGTCGGACCCACCCCAAAACAGGTCGGGTAAAACTTGTCAGGTCGAAATTGCCATCCCTATTTGGTTAGCTATTGGTGTGAAGTGTAGGGCTGGGAAAACAGACCATACCGTTAGAAAAACCATGGTCCAAACGGTACCGCACAGTTTGGTCCGGACCGTAGACTGTAAGTATGGTCTAGTCTGGTCAATGATCTGTATTATTTTATGTTTTGATCTCTTGGTCTGGTCTGGTCTGGACCGCGGTTTACCGAACCAAACCGTGGATCCAACCGACTTGTCAATACGTGTTAACAACCCATTCGACCACTCTCCCTACTCCCACAACGACACCCAAGTCTCAACCTTAATTTTGTGAATCTCGTCCCTCCTTCATTCAGAACCACACTTAACCAGAGAGTAGAGATAATCGTGTCTCCATGTGACATTATGTTAATGTTTATAACGTTATGGTGCAAGTTGGGATGCTTTTACTTGATATCTTTGTTATGTACTAAGATTTAGGGTATCAAATTTATTCATGCATGTTAGGACTGATGTTTTAAGGCAAATAAAAATTATTTTTCCTGATTATTGGTTCAATTTTTTGTGTGGTTGACTAAAGAAATTATTTTTCGTTGAGTATGGTCTATCTGGACCAGAATAGACCGCACAGGCGTGGTCTGGACCGGATCGTATAGTCTGTGGTCTGGTCGGTGGTTTATACTTCAACCTCTCGGTCTAGACCATAGACCATTTATATGGTCTGGTCTGGATCAGACTGCACCATTTCTCAACCCTAGTGAAGTGTTCGTAATCCTGTATCAGGGGATTTTTTTCCAGAAATACCACTAAAAGAGAAAAAAAATCAAAAATATCACTCATTCTCGAAAAATTCCAAAAATACCATCTTTTTCCGAAAACCGTTTGAGAAGGGCGCGATTTTTAATAAAACCCGCATTAGGAGGGAGCGGTCTGATAAATTGTACCGGGAAACAGCGGTTCACATGCAAACCGCATGCCCACCTGCGGTTTTTATGTATATAATTTCTTTTTCGCGAATACAAAACAATAAATTTAGATAGCCTAGTTGATGGAAGCTTGTTATGTGTTTATTTAAACAAAAAACAGAAAACAAAATGGGAAGTGAACAGGGCATTAAGTGTAAGCAATTGCTTTTTCAATTTCCCTTTCAGTTTTATTATATGTTAATATTTGTTCAATTTTCCAAACAAACTTAACTTTAAACTCGGATAACACATTGCCTCACTCGGAGTCAATTCGAAGTAAAATTATACGAGTTTTAAAAAATTTACATTTTGGTGGCAAAATTACGTTTGAGTACTTTTATATTTTTTATAGAGCATTATAGTGCCTAAACTTTACAAACAACACCAATGTGCTAGTATGAGAAATTTCATATCATTAGTTGTTGGGGTCATATGGCTAAAAAATGACTAGACCCTTATAGTGCCTAAACTTTACAAACAACTCCAATGTGCTGGTATAAGAAATTTCATATCACTAGTTGTTGTTATGGGACATATGGCTAAAAAATGACTAGACCCTTACGAGGCCAAAAGATGACCCGACCTTGAACTAATGTTATTGTAACATCCCGTTCCGGCAAAACCCATATTTCGATCGCTAGAAAGTTCGCGATTTAGAATCGAGCATTTTGCTAATATTTCGACGAAAATCGGATTATCGATCGATCGGATAAGTATACGTATTAATTATATATAATATGGGGAGTTCTACGGTACCCAGGGTGAAATCCGGGGTACCGTATACCTTGAGTAAAAAAATGCTATCCAGAACTTGAATTGTCTGATCTTTCGGACATGATACTATACTCTAACCCTTAAAGATCAACACCTAGGTCTTAATTCTCTAAATCTTATACCCCAAGATCAATTTAATTAGAAACAATAATCGACGGTTATGATTCGTCCAAATATAGGCAAAAAAATCAATGCACCATCTTAGGGTTTATAGTTTATGATTTGGATAATTAGGACCTAGGGTTCACTCATTAAGGGTTAGTGTATAGTATCATGCCCAAAAATCCTGCTAATTCGAGGTCTAGATAGCGTTTTCATACTCAAGGTATGCGGTACCCCAGATTTCACCCGGGGTACCGTAGAACTCACCATATATGTATATATATATATATTCAAATGGTCCATTTAATTCCACCGACCCATCACTTTCCCATTCAATTTCTTTCTTCCACTTTCCATTTCCTGGACGAAGAGAAGCAGAGCGCGCAGGGTAGCTTCGGAGAGAAATTTCAGAGCAAATTTCTTGAGCATAAGGGATCCAAAAATCTCGTAAGTTATGCCTAATCCATCCATTCATCGTGATTTATCGATTTAGAGCTTTAAAACGAGATTTTGGTTCAGGAATTTCTTGAATTCCCGATAAGCCAAATTAGTGTTTCGAAGTATCCGGAAGCCGGATTGAGCCCAAATTTCATATACGAGCTTCCTGCAGCAAGGTAATCAATCCTCTAGTTCTAATCCCTGAATTTCGGCAATTATTTAGGTCGGGATCCAAATCGCTGAATTTAGCTCCGGCCAGGGTTTGATGTGTTTTTATCAAGAATTTGATCCGGAGCCTAGAACTAACTTTGACGGGGATACTGCAGGGGATATTAGGACGGTCTCGGATTTTAATTCGGGGTTCGTTCGTGAAATTGATGTTTTAGTACGGGAGGCTAGAACCGGTGTTTGAACGACCAGAACTGGTGAGGGATTAGCACGGCATACCGGGTTTGTCGTATCACGATAATTATATTGATGCTTAGAATTGACCTAGGTGAACTAGAATGGCATGATTAGGTGTGTATGAACTTTTGTGCTATATGTTGAACCCTGGACTGTTGTATGATATAATTGACTTGCCCTAATTGATATGGACATTGTTTATGCTGATGATTTCATACATGTTACCATTTGTGGCTTAACTGTTGATATGACTTCCTGCTTGTTCGATAAGGTGTTTTGACATGATGTGATATTATGGTTGTATTTGGATCCATAAGTGGGGGAATAAACTTCCCATGGTGATATTATGATGTTTAAGGAGGATGACTTGCACGAGGGTTTATCCCGAGGAAGTGCAATTATACGACTCC